AACGATTTTTGTGATAGGTGGTGTTGGCAGGATTCTAGTGATGGGATATAGTGTGAATTCAACATATAAGGCGGCGATTAACGATAATATCTACGCAAATTTTTCGCTTCATAAATTTCTCTGGTCTAGTTGTGTGCCTTCTAAAGTATTGGAAAGTCTTACTAAATAGGATATCAAGTAAATGTAACTTGATTAAGTGGAATATTCTTAATATCTTTGCTAGTGAATGTACATGGTGTGATGAAGACTAGGAGAATACATCTCACCTATTATTTGAATGTTATGATGCCTATTCTATATGGGTATTTGTTTTTGCATGATTTGGTGCTTTAACTGTTCTACACAAATTCTATCATGAAAAATTTGTTCATTTCATTGAATCTCCAAGACGCAGTCTGCAGGTTATCATTCGCACTTATTTACTTTTGTTTGTCACATGGTTCACGTTTTATACTGCAATAATTACCTTAGTTGCTTTTGTCTTCTTTTACATGGTTATTAGATGGCAATTTACGATCTTTTATAACAGTGGTAAACATTACAATTTGGTAATTATCTTTTATATGAGTTATGATAGATTTTGTTTATGTGATTTTATATTTTGTAACGCATTAGGATACCTCTTATACTATTTTTATTTTAATTTATTTTTTTGCTTATAAAAAAAACAATTAAAAATGTTAAACAATGTTTTATGAATGTTCCTAAAATTTCCGTGTCTTTATGGGAACCACAAATTCTCACTACTATGAGAATGTTTTTACTAAAAAAAATTATTAAAAACCATCTTTGAGAATGTTATTATCCTGCATGATTTAAAAAAAATACATATTTATATCAAACATGCGAATTTAACAATATTTTATTTCAATTGAGCGAGCACCTCTGACCTTATATTAGCGACAGTTCTGAAACTATCCAGAAATTCTCAATAGTATTTCTTTGTTCAATCATGATAATAGTAGTAAACTAGCTGGACGTCTAATAGACGCAATTTTAGAACATACAACAATAAATCTTTATACATAAAAATAACGAAGTTTAAGAATATCTTTCCCATTCAAACTGAGAATATTTCTTCAAACTATATTTTAATATTATTTTCAATATTTTAATCACAGTAAATTTATTACTAAGAGATGGTTACTAGTTGCGAAATTTAACTTGGATTCTGGAAAAATGTTCCATCCTCCGAAAACTCATTCGGAAACTTGATCCGAATGAATAAAAAATTAATTTAAACAATAAAATATTAAATTAAATAATTATTTTATAATAAATTTATTTAAAAATATTAATATTTTATTTATTCTGACATTTCAATCGGAATATATAGCAATGCTCTAGATTCTAATTTCTAACGTAAATGTTGACTGTTCTTACCGGGAATTCGAGGTAGGGATGATCTGCTAGGTAAGATCAGTGAGCCTCCTTCGCTGGTACGCTTGTTGTTCCAAGATGGGGGTGGTACCTGCAAAAGAGACTCCGATGCCAAAGTTAGTGTTTGTGGGAGTATGAGTCTCGTATAAGTAACGCACGTACCTTGGTGTGAATTAGGGTTTCGTTGGGCCTTGGGCCCGAGATCAGTTTATGACCTAATTGGATAGCGAGCCGATGTCGCCTAGCGCGTGTCCGAGGTCACTCCGCGCTGTGATGTCGAGCTCGAGCTTGGCATAGCAGTACGAATAGTACACTCGCCCCCCGAGCTCCGAAGACCGTAGGTCGAGGAGTTAAGACCGAGCTCGACAAGGGGTCGTGACTTTTCGCGTACGCCTATTTGTCATGACGCCATGTGTCATAACCGTCACCTCGTTCCCATAACGCGTGGGCGGCGTGGTGACAAGATTGTATTTTTATTTGTTTGATGACGTG